CTGGGATCAAATGATACAAGTAGACAATAAACAATTTTATATTATAATGATGGATCTTATTAGACTTATCCAATCAGTAGGTAATTATATTAGCTATACTAAAAAATCTTTATTGAAGATGAATATTTAACCAAAGTGTATAATAATAGGTAATTTTTATATTAAAAGTATATCCAAAATTTAGTTGCTAGAACACTTAAACAAATTTATTTAAAATAAAATCGAATTTTACTGTGATGTTAATATGTCTAACATCGTAACAGTTAGCCCCAAATGGCCATATTTAACGATTTTGGTCATAACGCAAAAATGTTTACAAAAAGATAATTCCAGGATAGTATCATTCTGCGCAAGATAAATAATAAAATGAAATAAAAAAATTAACTTTGAGAATGATTGTAGGATAAAACAGGTTTTTTATTTTTTTTAAACACATTTTAGTTTTTTTCAAAATTATTTATAATTTTATGATATAACGTTTACTAAACGGACTTATCAATAATAGTACGCATATACCTATGGTTGAAGCCGATAATTTTGAGTAATTATTTTGGCGTTACCAATTGCGCACCTAGTACAAATAACTGTTACCGTAACACTTTGCCCCGTGTAACACTATTATGCATTTATGCCCCGTGCTCCACTACTGATCTTCATTACGAATTACGATGAACACGATTATGCATACATTGTTCGCGATTGCAGGGTACGAGTAAAATCGCGCGCGGGCACAACGACCAATTTATTTTGAGTTTGAATTAAAGGAAGAAAAAAAAATATGCTAATGCGCAGAAATCCCAGCACTATAGTAACAATAACCTCGGTGCGGGCCGCGGGGTACACAATATTGCCCGCGGTATCAAGACGTCAAGTGCATAAATTAGTCGGTATAAATAAAAGAAAAGCGAGTGATATTATTTTGGCAGATTATAAGGGTAGTTTTTATTAATACATTATACCTACGGGATAATCCGTTCAATAATAAAGACACCGTTATCGCCGAGATCGCGTCTCCGATGCCTCGTTAATGCGCGCGTAACGAGAAAGACTGTGTAGCGAAATAATTGCTAAAAAAGAATGTGCGTTTGAGAGATACGACATTACAGCGAAACGCACTAACGTTTAAGAGACGCCTGTGCTCGCTGAATCTTAAAACGATCATATTTTAAGGCAAATTCACGCGCATTATTATTTTCGCCGGTAGGTACCCATGATTATTTTTTGACCGGAAAAACGTGGCTTATATACCTACCTGCCTGGGTATAGGGATATAACGGATCAAATTTATAATATAATTCGTAAGACTTGTGAGTACCTATATACGTAGTGTTATTAATTAATCTACGATATTAATGTGTAGGTAACTATTGTTTTACGCGACGGGCGGACGGTATAATAAACCGTAGATATATAATAATTCTAATGAAATACATAAAAACAAAACATATAGGGTAATATCGCACCAATTGTACCTATACCAATTTATCGGGAAAAAATGCTTACTCGCGTTTATAAAAATCATAATTACAAGTAGTGAGTATACTCGTATGATAGGTGTATACGTTTATAGATCAAATTTATATAATGTTTATTTTAATTTGATAAGTATACATGCACCAGCGTGCGCAGCCTCCGGTTTCAGAGGTTGCAAGAGATTAATTCGGCCAATTCTTCAGATTCACCATTAAAACAACCGGCCCATAATTTTACCATTTTTTTATTATTGGGTATCTACATAATATTAAAATTGTATTGGTTATTCGTTTTTTGGATAAAAAGTTGTGCGTTAAGGCCGTACTAAAGGTGTACCTTTCCGCAAGCGTCACGGTGTATTGGCGTACGATGCACAAGGCGATAACGTTAAAAATCCATTTTATTGTTTTGTTTGATTTGTTGACCATAAAACACAACAATAATAATATTTACGATTTAAAATTAAAGCTGTTTTTTTTTTTTTTTTGTAGACGGGTCTATAAATATTACATTGGTAAGTTCTATAACCATTTAATATTTATCTATACTTTACGGAAAAAAATTTATCATTTTTTTTTATTTACGATGGTCATCGTTTGTGGAAAAATAATGATTTTACTAAGGCCCATTATTCAATATTTGCCAACTGTGGTAATCCCAAAGAAAGTCCAAGGGCAGCATATGCTGCCTCTGCTGCCACCGTGCGCACATCTATAGTAAGTAGTTAATACCTTACGTTTTATTAATTTCTATAAAACCTTACATTTTGTTTCATTGTTTGTACTTGATATAGTTATAAACATGCCTATACCTACTTTAAAATTGTATCATAATCATAAAACTACATAACATACTTTATAATATATTAAACCACTTAAATGATGACAAAATAAAAATATTTAACAAAACAACGCGATTAGAACATAATCGGGAGGAACACAATAAAAAAAATTTAAAAAATTAAAAATACATTTTAACTTACGATTTTCATTTTACACGGTATATACAGATACCTACATATAATATATATATATATATTATATATCAATATATGTGTAATATATATATTATCTATATATACTATACACTCGATTCAATAAGATAAGAATATAAATAGGAATTGGTATTAGGTATATTATAATTTAATAGCTAGTAAGATATACAAATATTAATTCGTAAACAAGATGTGTAACATTGTAATATTTATGTTTACCAAATAGTATCATAATATTACCCGCAGGCCACAGCCTACTGGCAACTAAAATGTAATGCTTTGATCCTGCAGATTTATAAACTATAAACAATATAAATAGATTATATACTTACGCTAATGGTAGGTACCTACCTTTTGAACACGGGCATAAAGTTAAAACGTACTAAAATCGTAGACGTTTTCGCGGGTAGAATCTCTTTGGGCTTTTTTAATTTTAATATTTCAATTTTAAATACACTGCAGGTACCCATAAAATATAATATAGTTTATAGGACTGTATGTAACTAATTTATGTCTTGTAAAGAAAAACTGTAATATCGGTTATTGTTAAAACTTAAAATATGATTACATTTGTTCGAGTATTTTTGATTTAATTCGTTTTAAAATTACTCGCTGTATTCGTTTTTGAGCGTAAAATAAGTTTTCCGGATCTTGGTGATCATCAGTAATAATAATAAAAAAAAAAAATTTCAAGGCGATATATATAACAAAGCAATTGAGGAAATATCTATATTTGTTTGATCGCAAATAAACCTACTTAATAACCTACTTTCTTATTATAATAGTATTTAGACACTTAAGTTTTTGTCGAGAAAGTGTGTTTATTAAAATGTATTTTTAAATTCAACAGGTCAGCCATCAATAAGTATATAATATGTATAATATAAATTTTTATTTCGTTATAAATCGGTAAAAATGTTTAGTTTTGTAAGATTTTTTTAATTATTATATTGTTTCGACGTTACCTTAAATTTTGAATAACTCGAAACAAGTTTTTCTATTTTTTGACACTTCAATTTTCTTACTTCAAATTCGAATAATGTGTCGAGTTGTTCTTAGTGCCGGAACCAGGACGCTTGATGCACGGGTCATACAAAAATGCAACGCCCTTACTTGGACGGAACTATGCGGTGTGTCGCGTGTCAACATAATACAAAATGTTTAAATACAAAACAATAGTATGTTTTTAATTTTTATATTACAAATATTTTCATTTAAACCTCATATAGTCATGTTCTATAAGAAAATAGTCATGCGCCGGTCAGATTGGGTTTTCTCCAAAAACAAATAAACTAATAAAGACCTGTAACTATATCATAAAATATATCAACACCGGGCAAAAATAGTAGGTATAGAGATAAACGCATTATGATATTAAATATTTAAATAGCTAATGTATAATATTAATTTTTTCTTGGTGGAAATATATATTTCATGCTGATAGTTTTTTTTCTTTATTTTCCCTAAGCTAAGAGAGCGCCCAATAGCGCCTGAAGCTACGACAACCGCTTTCCCCCTAGATCAAGTACTGGTAGTTCCAGAGCTTTACACAACAGTTTTATTTTTGCAATGTTTTTCAACTCAAAAAAAAAAAAATAAAATAAAATACCAAAATCATTTCAAAACACTCTAGATTTACCTTTGAGAAAATATTGGTTTTTTTATTTTTTATTTAAAATATGAAAATTTACATTGTACAAATTGTACAATCAGTAAATGTGAAAAGGAGTTGGAAGACGTGGTCAAGAAAATCGCTAGTGGCAATATCTTAGAAATTATGGAAATTTTGACGAAAACAATTGTATTTAATTGAAACATTGAACTAGTCACACAGTTTGACCAGTTAAGATTAACAATCACTTAACACATAAGATACTGATATGTTTAATGTCCTCAGACAAATTGTAACCAATACCCAAAGAAGAGACGAGGTAAATGATGTCAACAATATAATATTTGATACATATTTATAGTTAATTTTCTTTTGTATATCATTATTTAATATTTAATCAGAAAATAGCAACAATTATGAATTAGTAATAAAATTTCTTTTAAATTCTTAAATAAAAACCAACAAATCAAAAAAATCTTTTTTAAGATGATAATAATTTAACCAAAAATGCATTATAAAATTACCAGTGACACAATCAATTTAAAAGAAAGATTTTTGGTCAATAATGATATTTTAAAATGTTAGTTATAATATTATTAAGATTAACTACCATGTAAATAAGTAATTACAATAATAAAAAATAAAAATATCAATAAACATGCTATACTGCCTTTTTTGGTTTGCAATATTTATTTCCTAGAACAATATGATCAAATATTTTTAAACACTAAAGAACGAGAAGTTTCTGAATTTAGCATACCTGCTATAGTAGGTATAGGTATTGTTGTGATTATTAAATAAACAAATAAATATTGTACCCATACTCATTAATTCATTTAATAAAACAATAACATTGAAATAAATAACTAATATATTATGATCATATACATTTAACCACATTTTAATTTTCAATAAGCTTAAAGACCTATTTTAAATATATGAATTTCAGTAATTTCATAAATAGTATTAGTTCAAAGTATTATTACCAATAATTTGTAACTATAGATCACTCGATTTTACTGCACGAAAATACTGCAATCTGGACATGGAGGTTCCTTGGCTACGATGTGTCTCCGTGTGATGCAAGTGACGCTTATTCAGAGGTGGTTGATTACAAGCACATCTTTTCAGGACATCAATTTTTAACCACAGAAAGATAAAACTTCTTGATAGCTCCAAAATGTATTATTTTGTAAATTAAAAAATTGATTTTGCCATTCTATAATAGTATAAGGTGATTTATGATTTATAATATATCATAAAATTACAAAACAAAAAACATTTAAAATTCAAACCATATTATGTTTAAGAAAATGGGAAATATAAATGGATAACAAATGCTTGCCATTTAAGAAAATATTTTTTAAGTACATAAAATGTACTGTTGTTTGTTTTTACAATTACCAAATGTTATACTTAACATTACTTTCGACAATCAATAATTGAATGATACCGATCTATTGAACAAGTTTAAATAAGATAATGGCGTTTAGACCAGACAAATCTTGGTTAAAATAATTAGATAAATGTATTTATATGTAGGAATGACTAAGATACTTATGAAATGGTGATTTATTCCATTTACAATTGTTTTATTCCAAATCTGTTCAAAAATTACCAATCAACAAAATGAACGGAATTATCAGAAAAATTAATGACTTTTCAAATTAAAATACCTACGCCATTTTCTACAAGAGAAGAAAAATGATTTATAAAATATTATGAGCTTTTACTCGTACAATTCATCTGCCATTGATAAACCTTTTTCATTTGTCTTACACACATTGTCCTTTTTAGTTTTACTTTATATATTGTTTGCAAACAATTACTTCCAAAAATATATTTGCTTTAAGTTAAAAATAAAAAATATTAGTTTGCTTCAACTTCTTTCCTACCTGAATTACAAGACAAAAATTATTATTTAACAAATACTTTTAGGATAGGTATTTGACCAAATTTAAATCTTTTATATTTTATTCTTTCTTTGATAAAAGTTATAAGAGCATTGTGTTCTTATATCCAATATACTCTATTAACGTTTTGATACTTGAATATGATCATCTTATCCAGCCCCTATAAGATACACTGCCGTATATAACGATAAATTAGAAGAGAAATACCTTTAACAGGTGAAGTGAATTTGATGGTAAATCCTAACCAACATATTCATCTCCTTGTAACTTATTCCATTAACGGAGAGCATTGGTTATTATTCACTCCTTCAACACCAACCATGTTGATAGTGCATAATCCCAAAACATTTTAACACACGACCTGCGATTATTGAATACAAAAATCAACAAAAATCCATTTATAGATATAAAATAAGGTATAAATAATTTTTATTTAACCTGTATTAATATTTTGAAATTTGAATAACCCATCTGATCAATATTCCTAGTGCACCGTTTAAGCTGATTATCAATTATTTAAACTCCTGTACATTATAAATATGCATTAGAAACACGAAACACAAGGAAAATAAAATGATTTTTTTTAATTTTATGAGTAATAAAATAATTCATACTTTTTAAATTGAAAGAGAAATATAATAGAAGGTGCTTAATATGGATATGTGCATTAATGAACAGATAAAATCATCGATTTAGGCTATGTAAGCATTAAGATATTTAAATTTAAAATGTTCAAACGTTACAAAAACTAATCTTAGTACCTAAATCGTAGACTTAGCTGTTTTTTGTTCATAATGCGTATAAACAACAAATCACCAAAACACATAACAATACAAACAATACACACAATACACATACAGGCAACACATATAATACATTAACTTATAAACTTGAACACAAAATTTTAGGTTGTTTTACATTTAATACATAGTGATTTTAAAAATTTACTGTACACAGTTCCACAAAAAAGACATATGAAACATACAAACAGTTATAAACAAGAAAATTAAAATCTGTACAATTTTAAATTCTACTGAACAGTGCAAACTAAATTCCCAAAACAGTTTGAAGAATACTGCTGAATAGATTCTCTACGTGGCAAGTTTTAATAGTCTAAATCGACTTCACTTTAGTATTTTCAAGCATTGATTAGAAAAGCAGTCTCTGTCCATTTCAATATCATCAAATAATTTAAAATACATCTACTTTTTAGTTAATAAAACATATCTGTGGTTAAATTTCATACATGAAGTGATAAGTGAATTTCAAGAAACAAAAATATTTATAGAATTAACATTACAAATCAAAAGATAAATATTTAAATTTTTTGAAATTTCCAGATGTGCACTACAATAACTACAATATCACAAATAATTTTTTTGACAAGTATTCAGAACAAAAAAAACAACTGTTTCAATATTTATGACATGATGTTACTTGAAAAATTATATAAATTAACAAAACTAATAATACCTAAATTAAAATAAACAATTTTATTAGCTATTGTGATAAATGTGAAATAAAATATTTCACATTTCAAAAATAAATGTAAAATATACATATAATTTGAAATGCAAAATTCTGAAGAAAAACAATATTACAGAGCTATTAATTATAAGGAACCATGAACCAATTATTTAGTTTACTTGAATAGGTTAGCTAATTCAATTATATTTCAATAGCTTATTAATATTTAAAGAGCACCAAAAAAGACCTTAACCTGAACTTCAAAAATGTCCAAAACACAATATGTAACCATGCCAATGTTTAGAATTGTTTACATCTTAAATTAAAAATCAGATCAATAGCCTTACAAAGAAATATCAAATATTTTCAAAATTTAAAATCAATAATTTTTGATTTTTCTTTTTGTACCAACATAAACAAATCTTCTACTTGTTCACTAGAATCGTTTTCAGTTTTTATCGAAGCTTGAAAATCATTTATTTTCTATACCATTAATGTACTTGCAATAAACATACTTCATTGGGTATTTCTCTGATATATGTGCAGTGTAAATCAAATTATTCTTATTGGCAATACATATCTAAAAAAAATGATCATGATTACTTTTCAATAAAATCAACTAAAATTAGACAAATCGAAGCTTGTCAAATAATCTAATTCCCGAATAAATCCCATTTTTGACACGCCTCGATGTGTACAGATTTACTTTGTCAAGTAAAATAGTATTCTGATGATTACGGCCATGATTACAATGATATTGCAATAAAAATAAAATTTTGAAAAACTGATTAAAAAATAATTTTTATATATAATTGATTTTATATAATGTCATTTATTACAATATATTACATTGTATATGCAGTTTGATAAAAAATAAAAAAATTATTTTAATAATTTAAGACAAAAAAAAAACGTAATAAGTATACACATTTTTTTTTAATAAAACAAAAAAATATTTTAAAAAATGTATCATATAAATAAAATTAAAAATACCGTCTAAGATTTGCTAAGATTAAATACTTTTGCATATTTCTTTTTAAGGTCTTTGGGACAATATTTATCAACTACGTCTTCAATCAATGATTTATAGTCGAATATTTTTTTCAATTGCTGTCTAATTTCATCTAATTGAGCTCTTGATACTTTGCTTCTTTGAATGTTATCCTAAAAATTTAAATATTAATATATAACAAATTTAAACATTGAAAATTAAATTATTAAAAATACTATTTCATAAATTATTTTAAATTGTACAAAATAGTTTAAGTTATTTATTCAACACATAATTGTTTTTTCAATATTTTGAATCCAAATAGTAAATCATCATAATTGGATATAATTTTATTTTAGATTATTAAATTGGTAAAAAATAAAAAATTGGAAAAAATATTATGTGAATAAATTATATAGCTAGTTTAATAAGTACTGTATTTAATAAAATTTTGAGTTGTTTATTCTCTACAACAAATAAGCAGGATATCAGTTTCATACTTTTAAAATATAATAAAACAAATTATATCATTAAAAAAGGATTACATTCATAATGCTTAAATATAATGAATTAAACAACTTTTTGCAGAATACATACTTTAACGAGTTCAATGAGATTATGGCGCTGCCTAAGATCTTTTACATTAGCTTCAATTCCAGACATAAGTTCAGTCATTCTTGTAATAATGTCGTCTTCGATATTTATCTATAACATTTTTATTAATTTGTTAATAAATTATTTTACATGACTATTAGAACTATGGTTCTTAGCCGGACTCATAAATAGATAATTGAGTATGGTCAAAACTAATTTTTATATTTTATTCCCATTCATTTCTATCCAATAATATAGCAAATTACATGTCACTATAAAATTTAAGAACTATAATAAGTTATAAATATCAAATATTTTATTAGTACCTAATATTAATATCATAAACCATAAATTATTTCCTTTAAATATATTGAATGCACTACAATTATATGTTTTGTCATCAAATACAGTAACTTAAAAAATACAATTTGTAATTGTACCTGTATGAAATTTAGATCAATATAAATTAATCTTTTTAAATACAAACCAAGGCTTGATTATTACTTTCAAAATAATTAATGTTTTTAGTTACCATTTCATCAAATTGATCTAATAAGTGCCGAACTCTCCATCCAGATATGCTATCTGACGTCCATTTTTTAGCTTGTTGCATATCAGCTAATTGCTTTTTAGTTTCTTTGACTTTAAAATCAATGTGCCTACAAAATAATTTGTTATTCATTAATTGATAATAAAATCACAAGCTAACTATTATAATTGCCACAATAGAAAATGTGAACTTTGCTATAAGTTATAAATTTAAAACTCAACAAATTTAAATTCAGCAGAATAAAGTTTATATCTTAACTTTAATATTAAGAGTAAATTAAATTTTAATGTAAAATACTATCAATGTTTAAAATGTCAACTTTTTTTCAATATTTTAATTTATGATATTTCATACTCAAATACTGCTTATAATTTAAAATATCCAAAAAAAAGGCCCGACACTTAAACACAGATGTTTAAAAAATGGTCAGATCACTTCAACATTTTAAGTAACAACACAGATTGGTTCTATCATACTAAAATGTGATGTCTTACATTTGTAAGCAAAATACAACATATATATGCAATACATAGGTAAAAAATATTGGTTACAATACAAAAAAGTTTGAACATTTAATAATAAATTGTAACACTGGATTTTAAATTAGGTACATCTGAGTGGCCAAAAAAACAAAAAAGTACGCAACACAGATGTATTATTATACATAAATGTTGCATTTATTAATTCAAATAATATAAGTTTTAGATCTATACCTTTGAAAATGGTGAGAGTTTCCCCCCCGCCACGTATTTTTATAACTTCCCAATAATGTTGGTCGTTTATTTTTAGGTTTAACACAAGCTGAGCTTTCATCACTGACTTCTGCAGGTGTTTTATTTTCTTCAAAGAATGTTTTATCGGACTTAACATAATCAAATTCTAAAATTCAAACAGAAAACAATATTAATTTTTATAATTTATACTTGGATTAAAAATATAATTAATCCTATTAATTTTTTAACTTACCGTCTCCAAAATCATTCCCGAAATCATCATCATCGTCATCATAATCATCATCAGCAGGACAATCATCATCAACATCCATATCATCTAAGTCATCTTCTGCTTCATCTTCAGCATCGCCATCAATTAAATCGTCATTACAATTGAAAACTTCATCGGTAAAATCTTCGGATTTATCATTTTTTATTGATTTTTCTTCCACATACTCCATATCATCACCAACTATTTTAAATGGACTATCTTCTTGATTAACAGGGCTAAAAAAAGCACAAATAACAATTATTCATGTAATAGAGAATAATTTAAAATAAATCATACAATATAATATGTACTTACAGTAGCTGTTTACGAGGTTTTTTCCGTGGACTAATTTCAACCATTATGTGTGATTGCTTATTTAAGGCAGAAATTTGAGGTAGTAATCTTACCTCTGGTATTTGTGGTACCACAAGTGAATCTAATTGTAAACCAGTTTCACTATATCCATTTCTATTTAGTGATGTTTCGTCTGTATTTTGACATTCTTCAATATCAGGCTTGGTTAATATTGGTATTAGGTTTTTTTGCGCTCTAAGTACACTAAATTTATAACATGTAAGTATAAATATTTAAAACAAACAAAAATACTTAATAGCTACTTACCCATCTGCATCACGCTTCCTTAAAATACTAGGCCTGGGTGAAATAATTGGTTTAAATACATGTTGACTATTGGGTATATTTATGCACGGCTCATCAATATTTCCAGGAATGGGACCTATAATAAAAAAAATATTGCATATAAAAACATTAAGTTATATTCAGAAATATACCTGTCAAAACTTTTTATTTTTATTGCCTAAAATAGTTTGCAAAATTAGTTTTTAATAGAAGTTTTTACAACAGTTAAAAATTACAAGTTATTTTAATGATAATAAATTATATGGTCCATATACTTCAGGATTTTAAAATTAATTTAACTATGATGTGTTAAAAATGAATATTTTTCAATATTATCACACATTAATTTGAATACTTAACTGTTGACCTTAGCTGAAATAAAATGACTAGTCACACATGGTGGCTGTAGTCGAAACCACTTTATCAAACATGAATAAACATCACTATTAGTGTAGAGTGTGTATTACCAATCAAAAACTATCTACATAAAAAAGGGACACAAAAATGTCCTCGCCTAATCATTTCATTTTGCCCCAAGTTTATTAAATTGTATACAACATCTAACATGATGATAGTTTTATAAAAATATAACAAAAAATTGTATTAAATAATTATAATTTTAAGTAGTGAACTAAAATAGAATGAATAATTAACCAATTATTAATCTTAAAATATGTAAGTTTTTTTTGGACTTGTTTAAGGATATTAAATTTTTAGCGTTAAATGTAAATAAAATATTACAATTTAAAAATTTTCATAGCTCAAAAAAACATTGATAGTGCTCGTATAATAGGTCAATTCACTCTAATACTATTACTTATTACAGAAAACTGAAACTGTTAAATAAAATAATATTGTAAGTTTATACATGTTGATGTGATGTCATTCTAATTAAAATACTTCTTTTATCTTCAAAAGAATAATAAAAATAATAAATTTTAATTGTTATTGAACATAAATAAAATATAACTGTTACAATTAATTGAATAGAAAAAAAGGTCAACTATAAGTGAAATTAACAAATTTATTTATTATTATTAGTGTAATACGTAAGAATTATGAAGTATATGGAAATTATTCAAAGATAATAATTTCTATTTTTTTAAATCATGCATCAGTATGTAAACAGAAAGGTATTTTAGGAAAATCAAAGAGGTTTCATATCCTAGTAGGGTGATTAATGTACCATAACCATTTATCATAAATAACTCAGTAAAAAAAAAAAAAAACTAACAAATTTAAGAGTATAATTAAAACTGTTTTACTTAAAATAATAACAAATATTTGTAGTTAAATAATATTAATAAAAAAAAGGTCATATTGTTTTATTAAATGCAAATTTTATTTAATAAACATATATTTAAGTTTTTAAATGCATTAAGTCTGACCATTATTTATCAATTTATTATGAACTATGATTTATATATTTTAGCATCATTTTTAGACATTACATTTTATGTTGAAGAAATGATTTACAAAACACGGTTTACTTCAAACTTTAAAAAAATTTCATCATAATCCCACTTTATTACAACTAAGTAAAGCTAATAATAATATTAATAATTATTCTAATATTTAAAATTGATTAGATCAAATATTATCTTAGGTTGCAATTTATTAAAGTACGTATTTAAATGTAACACGTAAATTATTATAAGTATATATTAGTTATTTAAACAACTATAAAATATCTTAATAATTCACTGTCAAGAAATCCAAAAGATAACAAAATAATTATCCAAGAATATTATTATTTAAGATTTTTGAAATATTTTTGCTCATTATCATTTTGTTATTATGCATATTGACAACTATACATTGATTCCTAATATTACAATAGATAAGTAATCATAAGATAATTATAGTTTAGCTATATTTATTAACAATAGTATTATTAATCAACCCAAGAACTCATCAAATTCTGTTAATTGAGTCCATTTTGTATTCAATTGATAAGCAAAGGCTTAAGTTAAATTTCAATGTTAGATGATTTAAATATTCAACATATTTTATCAATTTTTTAGGTTTACGATTATTTGAATTTAACTTAATGGATTAGATAGTATTTATACAACTATCATCATTCACAGTTTAGTTTTTCAGTTGTCACTTTAAGTCATTATTATAATATTATGGATTTTATGAAATCTATCATGACTTTTACTTGCTGGATTAAAGATAATGAGGTAACAATGATAACTAACAGTGTGCCTTTATAAGCAAAATAAATATTCATTATGAATGTACATTACCCAAAACTACCCAATAATATTAGATTTAGTAACACGGGGAATTATTTAATTAATAATAAAATACAATTGGAATGCAATTCACTTAATTTTTAGAAAATAGGACGCATTAGTCTAAAACCGAATTTAATTTGCTAACTTAACTAATAATTTTAGCATGTTAATTATTTTCTCTACCAAATACCTCACCTATATCTCTTAAAATTATAACTAATTATCTTTAGAAATTTTGCTAAAATCAATTTTAACGAGGAGTTTTGGAGAGAAAATTTTACACAAGACCTAGAGTCGAATAAAATAAAATAAAAAAAAAGAAAGATCAAAGATATAATTCATACTTAGGAAAGAAAAGCAGATGACAGAAAAATGTATGGAGAAAAGAAGCAACTTATCTTAGAATTATGGGAAAATGTTATTATGTCAGTTAATCATTGACATATAACTTAATTTGTCGTTTCAAACATTACGCCCTAATATATAATAACAGTAAAATTGATCAAAAACGCCTATTTTATACACAATTTACTGTTTTAATATATGATAAGCAATTACGATATATTAAAAAAAGTAAGTAAATATAAAATAACTTGAATATTTTACATCATACCCGCTGAGATTTGATTAATATGGAAAACAATAATAGTATAAATATAAGGTGTTTCTATGGTTAATAAAAATAATGTTTAGTGTCTAGTTTATAAAATTCAATAAAAGATATGTTTTTATAAGTTATAAGATTAGCCAGTTACACCATTTTAGGTAACTAAAATTGAAATATTAAAATTGCTACTCAACTTAAAAAAAAAAATAAATGTACAAATTTGATGAATTTAATTGTATTTCAATAATAATAATTCATTATATAGGTAATATCTATACTTTGTTCCAAATAAGATGACTTATGCGCAAACTACTAAATTACGTTCAGTTTGAATTGGAGTAGATCGCTTGCCACCGCCCGCATTGCGAAACCGGTCGCCTCGTCGTACTTCCTAACTGACGTGTTTGGCCTGCGACTCGTAAGCCACGTCCAACGTGCGAGAACACAAGTCATCTTATTTGGAATGGACATTATATTGTTTGTAATCATTTTAAATATTTAATTATATTACATAATGAATGTAAAAACATGTAAGATTATGCTAAAATATACTTGGAAATATTTGTAAAATATGTTACATATCATACTAAATCCTATTATTTAAACAATAATTTCCTATTACCTGTCAATTAACATGACTTTTCAAGATTGATATGTAAAAGCATTAATATATGTCTCGATAAAATGTGTTATAATGATGCTATTATACATAGCTGAAAACACTCTTAAAAAGAACATAACTATCATGATATTTTTATGCAACTAAAATTATGAAAAATTGTATAAAACAAACTCGTACTGAATTAAAAACTTCTGATGATTATAGACACGTAAAAATATCTAAATCTAAATAAATTGAAGAATTGGATTGTGATACCGTTAAATACTTATTAATATTAAAAAATTATATAATGGAACTTCTTTTCAAAATATTAAAAAAATTATAAATGTTTACATTTTTTAGCAAAACTGCAATATTTATTAGTTTATCATTTGTTAAAGTAAAATTCACAATTTAACTCATCGTTTTTTTGGATATTAAACAAATAACGACACCACTAATGATAGATAACAGATTTGTTAATGATTAAAATATTAAATTAAACTATAAACTCAAATATTGAACTAGACGTGATCACTAACAAATTACATTAAAAAAAAAGAAGAATAAAGATAATTCTGAGAACAGTTACTATAATCAAATATATGTATGATTACTAGGGTAAAGATTGTAATATATTTAAACAATAACTTTGATATTAATATGAATGTACTAAAAACCATATTAACTAATATACTATTTTTTATATCGATAACAAAATAGTATAATTTTTATTTTAACTAAATATTTGACATAGCTTTAGGCAAACATGTAACATAGCATTTGTTTAAACTAGTTTTTAAGATAAATTATTATATTTCTTTCAACTAACCAATTAAGGTTTATTTACAAACGATCATAGTATACAATGATGAATATCAGTTTTTACAAGTACTATAATCTACTTGGAAGTATACAAGAGTATTGAGAAATAAATAAGCATAACTAAATATATAAGAGAACAAATAAAATTATTCTAAGTAAAACAAGAAATTGTATATTCTAGTTTGATTTTAAATGGTTTATCCCTCCCTTCACCCAAGAAAATTTTTAATAATGAAATTGAGATTGAGGTACACTTACTAAATATAAATTTTTTTCATGAAAAATATTTAACTATTATTCATGTCTAATAAATTATGAGCGTAAAATAGTTCTATTTTAAAGCCATTCTATGATCTAAATAATTTTAAATAAATTTGTCATAATTACCATGAATAACTGCAGGATTAACAACAGCATTTTTATGGTGGTAACTTTTAGGAGGAAAACGAGCAAAATCACTCTGAGTATAAACTGGTGGTGTGCCTGGCACCAAACTTTGACGTATACCTGTATATTCAGGTATGCTATCATAAGAACCTATAACAAAATATTAAAATGTAAATGATTAATTTAATAACAAATATTAAACTTTTAAATGAAAAAAAAAATGTGTAAATAAAAGATATATCACAATCATTTAACACATTCAAATGCAATTTAAATATATTGTTTAACATACCTGTCTTATTTATTACAGAAAAATGTGATACAGCAGGAGTTGATGGTATTGGAACAATCTGTGAATGAAATCAAATAAATATGTTAAAATTGATAAAACTTAGGTACCTTAATTTAAAATACTAATAATTGTATCAATAGAAAACATACTTTAGCAGGAACAACTTCATTTGACGAATGAATAACATGCGATGTAGGTGTTATTATAAGAGGGGAAACATTTTGAGATTCCATAATAGAACGTTGCATTGATGTTGTAACAATACGGTTTTGCGCTTGAGCTGTCATTTGAGATCGTGCAGGTGCAAATCCAATTGTTTTAATAAGCCCATCACTTTTCATCTGAACCTATTAAATAAATAAAAAAAACGATCAAGTTTATGTATATTTCAAGTTTAAATCAAAGTTTCTTACACAACCACTATATTATAAACTTTAAAAAGCTTTATCAAGTATAAGTTGTACATAAATATATTTAAATTGTGTAACAGAAATTATGGTTTTATTGATGACATTTTTTTTTTTTTTAATGTAAATTTAATTGTTCATATGTTGATTCATCATTTCCCACATAAAAATGTGTGTTGATTATTTTATCAGAAAAACACATTCTACAGATATGACTCTTAAATACAAGAACTGGATTAATAATATATTAGTTAGTTTCACAAATATAATAATAGATAAATTTATTTACTGTTATGAGCTGATTAAAAACAATTATTTAGTTTACTCATGCCTAAGTTAATTAAAACCTAATCTTTTAAAATAGTGCTTTATTGGATATGATAGTGAGATCAGTATGAAATAAATTAAATAGATATAATTGAAAATAATTAATTAATTGCTATTTTAAAATTAAATTAGAAAACAATTAGAATTGCATTCTAAAATAATCCTAAGTAATTTTAGTAATTTATTATAAAAACCATAAAATATCAAGTTTAAAAAGTATAAAAATACTACAACAAAACAATCAAAATCTAAAATAATTTAATATTCTGTATATTTATATTATAAATATTAAAATTTATTACTTAGTAATAATTGTATACTAGTGTACTAGTAGTGAATAGTATACTAGTTGTAACTTGTACAAATAGTCTAATACTAAAGCATATCTAACAAATACCGACAATGTATCATCTGCATTAAGCATTAATATCTAAAAATATCATGACTTACTTGTGAACCCAATTGTTTTGAAGGATGTAATATTACAGGACAAATATTAAGTTCATCTCCAACTTCATGAGCTGACAATTTTGGTATACCTTATTAATAAAAAAAGACATAATTAAGTATTAGATATTTATATTATAAAATAAAAATAAAAAGCTACACTAATTTTGTTTCTAATATCTATGAAAATTAGTAAAATACATAACTAAATATTTTAAGTAAAGTAAACGAGGTACAAAAGAATAAATTATGCAGTGCTTAAAACATATAACTAAATACAAACATCTAATTACTATTATATTATTATAATACTTATGCTGAATTACTAATAGTAAAATTTTTATCTTTTAAATGAAGAAATTATTTTAGTTATTGATTTGTTAAAAATATTTTGAATATTTATCAACTCAGCATTAGCATGTTTTTTAAATATAAACTAACCTGGTTTGATTGAATTTCCAATGGGTGTAAATTGAGTTAATGGTATATTATGAGATGAAGGATTGCACATTCTATATGCCTGGAAAAAAAAAATTAATTAATACATAATATAACTTAACTTTTTTCCCTTTAAGGATTAACATTAATAACCATACATAGTTTCAATATATAGAAGCTAACATGAAAAATAATAGCTTATGAAATATTTAAGTATATTTTATATTGTTATCTAAAATAACAATATATTATAATTTTAAGTACCAATAACATTTCCCTAGTGTAATGTAATGTACAAATTTAGATACAATTTACACCTATTTTATTAAACAATATTAAATATGTATAATTTCAGTAAATTTATTTTAAATATTTAAGTTGTGTACTACTAGAAATGAGTCAAACTATTCATTTTTTCATAGAAATGATAGTGATCATACTTATATTGTTTGATGTTAATTAATGTTTATAAAATGCTGAATGTTGTAATTACAATTATTTTTTCTGCAGAATTGAACATTTAAATAAAATGTGACATTTTCATAAATTAAAATATTGAAGATACATATTTTTGTTCATGTGTAAAATATTACATAAATATAAACAGTTGAAAACTTACAGAGGAACACAATACCATTGTCTGAAATTAAAGGGTAAACTATTATGTATAAACTGTTCAATAGATACTTATTAATTTTGTTTTTTAAACACCAATGGCAACTCAGAGAAGATGACACAGACGCATAGTACAAATTAATAGGAACAAATGAGAGGCTTACATACTGCCTTGACATGGATAATTAATTAATCATAAAAATTAGATCAAACAATGAAAATGGCATAGAGTTAATTATTAAGACAATGATTATTAATTAATTCTGATGAAAAAAAAATGTTAGTTTCAAAATACTATTTTATAGAAAATTGTGATTTTAAAACATAGCGTGTAGCTATTCGAAATGTAGAAGCACAAGTGAAACACTTAAAACCATGATTCGACCAACTATAGGTAGAAACTTATACCTAATGAGTAGGTAAGTACCATGTTGCCACTGAGTAAAATGGTAAGACATGAACATTGAAATTACAGTGATGCCATTTCAAACGAATTAATTTTCAAATAATTGCACAACATTAATTTCGCATTACAGAGATGGTTTTGGGATTATGTCTGTTAGACGTGTTTTTCATGGAACATATATCGTTAGAAAATACGGAAAACCTATATTGACGCCATCAACGACAGACTTCGAGCGAACCGATGCCAGTTACGTTACAAGTGTACCAATGTAACTACTGCATTAGTAACGAAAAACCGACATCAAAGTTGTAATAAACCGCGAACACGACATGAGGGACGAGCAGAAAGAAAAAAACGATCGTCATACCTAACGACGAACCCCGTCGTGTCGCGGGTACCTCAGAAAAACAGCACGAGACAAATATTCCCATCACAACCGCAATACAACACGACGTTTTGGGGAAGGATTTGAGAACGGGGTTAAGGTACACCCGTCGTCGAACGTTTTTCTTTTTTTTTCTTCTTTCTTTTCTCGCGGCGGTTATGGTCCGAACCCCCTCGGTCGAGGACGTTGTGAGAGAGACGGGCGCGGGGGAGGGCGCCGCGTTTGAACCGCATGGGACGTTTTCGACGACGACGGCGGCGCCGGACGGGCGGACGGGTAGAGAGAAAACGGGCGGGCTAGCTCCTGTCGCCTAAACAGGATGGCGGCCGACTGGCCGATACTCACGGTGGCTGGCACGTCGACGGCGCTCTTTAGGACGTCTTGTTTGCCGATGTTGGAGAACGGACTGGCCGTCAGTATTATGTTGCTGCCGTCTTTGATCTGTTCGGCGACGTCACTCATGCTGAACGGGTGCGGGCGAGCGAGGTCGGGCGGCGAATCGTCGCCGGTAAAACGGTACGAGACAACAACAAGGACGACGACGACGACGACTGTAACAGTGACTGCGACGGCGGCGTCGGGCGCGCGCGGCTACGGCGGCTGCTGCTGTATAGACTGGACCGACTGTGCGCGGCCACTCGGAAAGCTATCGCAGACCGCCGGACGGACTTAGGCCGGACCGGACGACGACGCAACGAGCGTACAATAACGGGCTGTGTACAACGACGGCGCGATGGCCGGTGGACGACGCGGCGGCGGCGACGGCGACGGTGGTGGAGGCGGCGGAAGCGGCGACGACGACGGACGGCATCGCGCGCGACCGGACGGCAACACGTACACCACCGGACGACGTCTACGACGTATTTAGCACGCCCGCTCGACCGATTGCTGCGTCAACTGTGTCCCGTTAAGTACTCGGCGACGACGACGACGATGATGACGACGAACGAGCGTGTTGGCTAGGAACGGCGGTTGGGAGGCAGACGATGACGACGGTTTCGCGTTCCGACAACGCATAAAATATCGTTCGATTACCGTACGGAGAGATTACTCTCTCGGTAGTATATCATGTACTGTTTTTGGTCTATGTATTCGTATTTGTTGTTATTATGGCGTTTGTGTATATATATATTGTGTGTGTGTGTGTATGTGTGTCTATGTGTATGCGTGTGTGTGTGTGTGTGTGTGTGTGAGCGTATATTACGTGTGCAACGATAGAAATAATAATTGGCAGAAATATCGCTCGAACTGATCGCGGAGCGAGTGAAACGGTCGTTTTCTATAGTAGCAGCAGCCGCCGCCACCGCCGTGTCGTCGTGTTGTCGTCGTCGTTGTTGTTGTTGTTTTGTTGTTGTTATTGTTGTTGTTGTCGTCGTCGTCGTCGTCTCCTTCTCTTCCCGTCGTCGTTGTCGTCGTCGTCTCCACAGCAATTGTAACGCAATAATAATAATAACGATTCACAATAATTCGAAACGTGCGTGTCTCTTCTCTCGGTGCTGCTCGACCGTCTCGATTGGAATATAAATTAGCGCGCGCGTCACATGCACGGTGCGGCGGTACGGATCGAGTAGACAACACACTGGTGGCGCGCACAAGTATTTCGTCGCGATGCTTTCTCGCTGGCTGCCGCCGAGTGGTGTCGGGGACCGCCGCCGCCTGTTCCGACGGTGCTGCTGGCTGGCAGCTGGATAATCTATTGCACAAACGCGGCCGGGCGCATGCGCGTCGACGACCGTCTGCCCCGCTCCGCCGACCTGTCGCACAGAGTACCGCGGGGCGCGGGCGACTAGCGTTTCCCGGCGGCGGCGGCGGCGGTCGTTACAAACACGAAAACGCGCGCGAAACCGCGACGTGACGCCGTCGGGATTGCATCGAAAAACAAAAACGATTTCCCGATCGATCATCGGACAAATCGGTACCAAGTACCAACAACGATATCTGGACAATGTGGCCGCCGACGATCAGCTCTTTTACGGCACGCAATAAGTCGTTTGAGTTTTTTGTTTGTTTTCGTTCGGTTGTCGATTGTTTTTTTTTTCCATACGCATATTACTTTTTCTTTATTCCCCCCCCCCCCCCCCCCCCTTTTATAACGACCGTAATTGAACTGTAACCGTTTTAACTGGTCGAATAACAAATGACAACGGAGGCGACTGGAAACCGAACGACCGCCTCCAAGTGCGTTATCTGCGCTCGATTTTATCCTAATTATCACGACTAGAGGGTCAACCGATATTCTTCTACTCTTTTGCACGTCGCGACGACGGTATAGTTAAATGCGTTATTGATATCGTTACTTGTTGTGATCGTGCGACTGCAGTCGTCCAACACTCGAGTACCAAGTAGGTAGCCTACCGACTGACTGTCTTCCTCCATCAACAAAAAGATCTACTCTCTAACAACATAGTGCCAATTTAAAAGAAAAAAAAGGCCCGGATGAGACCTCTGCAAAGTAAATACTGCCGAGAGATAAGAGAGAAATAATTAATGGATCGCTAGACACTAGAATACAACGCCTAAGGACAGTGTTACGTATTTATAACATTTCATGTAAAAATCTTATGTCGAGTTGTAGGTTCGACTAGATTATAAGCCAATGAAACGAGCTAATTAATAATATATTTAATAGAGTAGTAATTCTCAATTGACCTCTACAGAGAAATATTGTTTTATTATGTTTGATAATCAATGTGAAGCAAGAAAGCAATTGGTTTTATACTTGAATTGATATAATTCTAGCATACATAACGTTCTGGATATTGTAAAATATAAAATTTCACAGTAGTTTTAAAAAATATATATGTTTTTATCAAAAGAATTACGTTTTAATAGTATACTATAGGAAAAATAATAATAAGCTAATTGACATTAAGTTAATACCATAAATATAAAACTGCTAGTTAAATATGTTTATTTCAACACTGTTGACTTTTATTTTTCACTAAAATAGTGAATACTAATGCAAATAATCTAGAGTATTAACTATCTAAGCATTTTAATTGAAATCTTAAAAAAAGATGCAAGTACATTACAATTATTTATAACCATAAAATACCAAAAGCCTCCTTACTGACCACACACTATTTAAAACATACTCAAGAAAATTTATCTAAACCATTTGTTTATCATCGAATTCTCTGATGATAAAGAAACAAACTAACTATAATTAAAGTGACTTTTTTAAAACTTACACGTGGTTCCAACTCCAGACCATCTTGTAATTCAAAAGAATGACTATCAGTTTCATCAGTAGCTTGTAATGGAGATAACATTGATATATCTAATCAACAGAAAATGTAAAAATTATAATCAATAATTTAAAATATGTTCATAGGTATATTGCAATTAATAAGATCCAATCATAACGTATTATCAATAATAACTAATAGACAATCTGAAAAAATTGCGTTTGAGTATACTTAGTAAAGATACCAATACATCCATTTAGAAAATGATCATATACATATTTGACATATTTGTCACATATATTTGAATGCTTTTTTTCAACACTTTTCAATTTTACGTATAAATTGTACAAGTAAATGAGAAAATTAATTTTATAATTGGTAATAAGTAATTAATAATTTAAAATTGTCATGTCACAAATAAATATCACTAAGACTTGATAGTTTATGCTGAAAATATATATTTAATTCTGGAATACTTTAATACCAAATGAACGAAAAACTGTTGTTAATGAAATATATAATAAATAAATGTTTAATAGTTTTATAGTATCTAATTATAAATAAAATAAAACAATGATAAAAAAAAAAAAAATGTGAAAAGTGATGAATTATTAGAATTTTAGATATAATTGCATTTAAAAATCAAATAAATGTATACAAATTATTTTTAAAATCCAAAAAAATTGTTCATTATAATTCAGATTGTTTTATCATAATTATAAGTTTATTAATAAGCATAATTAAATTATTAAACATTTATTTATTATATATTTCATTCATAAACATTAATAATTGTTAGATAAAAATTTATAATGGTACATGAATATAACATAACAATTTTTAATTAATAATTATTGGTTAAAAATTTATTTTTTACTCGTGTCTACAGTTTAATAAAGAAAATTAAAAAGTATTTAAATATTTGAAATGTTTGTTCATTGTTTTATAAATTTATGTATTTGTATGCAATTTTAAAAGTGCCTTTTACAATCTTGGTAAAAATATCAAATACTTAAAAATACTGTTTACTCATATTATAAAATATAATTAAATTACCAAGAATAAATCTTAAAGTATATATAAGGTTTAAGAATATTTTTATTTTTTTTTTATTTTAAATGATTATATAGTAAAAATATTTATAATTTTGATTAAATGATTAATATTTACCGTAAATTGGAAGATAAAATAATTCAGTTTTCCCCGGAATTTCAAAGTTTGTTGAATTTTTTCTATAAATAATTTAATTATTATATACATATAAATAATGCAACATTCAAATGTTAAAATAATTGTAATAAATCTCTATAATTCTTACATTGATTGTGTATAATAGGGTTTAAATGCGCTCTTTTCACCTACTGAGTAAGATGATTGAATGGATGAACAAGAACTTGGATAAACTTCAATTGGTTTAGTTGATTTATTTTGTTTATTAAGTTTATTGAAGTTGTATACTTGAATTGATTCTTGAAACATTTTTTTGTTAATAGGTTTATGTTTACTTATCGGTACATTTGGTATACATCTTCTTATTACTCTATGACAATAAAATTATAAAATTGTTTAAATATAATGACAACTTTTTTTTAAAATTATTTATAAATATTTACCTTTTAGATTTTACTAAGATATTTGGCTGTGTTGATTCAGGTATTTCTTGTATCCTAGGCATGCTGGGCAGTTGAAGTGGAATTTGATCATTTTCAGGAATAATAACTAATAAAATAATAAGATTTATTAGAATATACCAACTATGAATAATTACAAAACTAAAAACTAAAAACTAATCAGTAATAATATATCAAATATGCAGCAATCAGAAAAAAAAAAAGTGAGTGAAATTCTATATGAAAAGTCAATAATAATAATAATAATAACAATATATCAATGTTATAACACAAAACAAAAGAGAAATAAAAATTCATAACAAAATCTCTACATTCAAAAGAAAAGAATGTTAAAAAGAATTTTTAAAAGAAATGATACCTAGTATGTTGTGAAATTTTTTTTTATCTGAAACACAAAAAATAGCAACACTGCCATTATTGTCAATAAATGAATTAAAAATGAAATATTTTGGAGATACAAACAATATTAGTACTTATTATACTATACGTCTTGTAATACTAGTTATCTATTGAGTTCTAATTTATTATTTATACATACATTTTTTTATTTTCATGATTATAATCATACTGATAAACTATTTAATATTATATTGCATTTATTTACAATAGAATGAAAAATAAAAAATAAAATAGTGGCTTGGCATGGCATATTGGCTGCTACCAGTCGCGGAATGCGACTGAGAGTAACTAACGACCACAGCTACTAGCTCCCGGATGGGTGACCACTCGGGATCATAGTGGTTAAAAACCTTGCCACACATGCACGTATTTGCTATCAACCGTAACAATCGTAAAATACAACCTACCGTACCAACCTTACCCCTTACCAGAGTTCATAACCCCTACAAACAGCTAATGGCCCTAGTTGCCGGGCTTAAGTTCAATTTAAAAAAAAATAAAATAATAAAATAAATTAATAAGCGAGTGAGTAAGAAGTATATGATGTATATTTTACAATTTTTGATTCAACATATTGATATTGTAATTTCTAAAAGATTTTTCCATGTGCAATGTAAATTAATATTATACAGTCTAATATAAATATTGTAAGAGTATATAAAGAAAAAAAATATATTAAATCATACACAGATAAGTATACAAAGAATTGTTATTTGAGAAAAAAATTTAAAAAACTTACTATTAAGATTCAAATTACATTTTCAATTTTATTCATGAAAAATAAATATTAATTAACACTCAATAATTTTTTTTATGAAATAAAGAACTTTTAAAGCAAAAACTTTTTATATTGATAAATTTAGCTTGAACAAATTAACTTATAAAAATTACTTTTATGATATAAAAATTGAAAAAATAATTGAATTATGAAAAATTAAATAAAATTTTTATTTGTATAGTATACCTTTTACTAATTTTAAATCAGATTAAATAAAACTAATTTAACAATATGAAAATTAACAAATCCTATAACAACTATTAAATAAAATCTAAGACCTAACAAAGACATAATTTTAACAATTCTAAACTGTCTTAAGTTGTTAAGATTATTTTTATTTTAGGTATAGAGTAAATATTTTTAAAACTAGAGTAGAACTTATGTATTAGAGTCAAGTAATATTGGAACAGTCAATTTCATGATCATAACTAGTGATGGACATAATCGAGATATCTCGATTGTTTTTCATAATTGAGATATTTCGATTATGAGTAAAATAATCGAGTAATCAAATAATTTTGATTACGAGTAAAATAGTCGAGTAATTGAGTAATTTCTGATATGAGTAACGTAATCGAATTTTGAAATGTTTTGAATTATTATCTGGTAATTGATTATTTAGTAGGTATATTTTAAATCTGAAAAATGGTTTATATATGACATTACAATTTTCAATGTAGTACATATTTAATATTTATGATTATATGTATTTATTACCTTCATAATTAAGAATTTACAGTGTTTTAAACCAACAGATTTATTTAAAATTTAAATAATAATTATTAAATAAAAAAAATAAAAACTTGTCTTTTATTTAAAGCACCTATTAATAATGCATTATAATGGTTATTACCAACTTATTATTATTCCTAAATTATAGTCTAATTTTTAATTAATATTAAACCAGTAAATAAAAAAAGCAACATTTAACTAATAATTATTTACTATAAGTTTATTCATATTTCGAGTAATTTTTCAATTATCTCGATATGTAATAATATTTGATTATTCTTAACATACGAAAAAACGATTTTAATTTCGAGTGATTTTTCGAGAGATTCTCTCGATTATGAAAATGTCTCCATTACTAATCATTCGATTATGTCCATCACTAATCATAACCCAGAAAAATAGGGTCAGTTAATGAAATCTAGTTTGTATGATTGATTAAGATAAGTACAATTAGATGATTTAACCCGTCGTTGGTGATGCTATGAGTATTTCGCTCACACATTTAATATTTTTAGAACCATTGGTTTATATTTCATTCAATTTTGACAATATTATATAAATGCTTCATTGAGTTATTCATGAAAATAAATACGGAAAAAACATTAAATATTATAAATAAACTAACAAAGTTATTGAAGTCCAATATTGCCGTACATGTAATAATAATGTATATGTTAGCGTTATGCTCGCACGTCACTGATCGCCTTACCATATTATCTAGTTATTTTATTATCATATTATTATATTATTTTATTATTATGCTTTAGCAGTTCAATATTGATATTTATCAGTACCGCGATATATAAATTTGTAGGCTCATATTTATATTTTAATAGGTGAGCATTTCACTAACACATCACTAACGGTGTTATAAAAATAACGTCACCAACGACAGGTTAATCATGTATTTTATACAAGTAGATATAAATATAAATCACAAAATCAAGTTTTTTTTAATAATAAATACCAAATTTTCTACTTAAAAATTATTTTTAATATGAAATGTTTATAAATTACCATGTTTGACAGGATTATGTTCATCGGTGCTGCACACAGTGCAATTAATATCCACTTTATCGACTAAACTTTGATTAGCAGCACTTTTTTGGCGTTCTAAAACGTACTCTATAACTTTAGGGCTGATTCCTGAAAAAAAAAAAATGTAATTAAAAATAAGTAAGGTATTATGCATACCAATTATAAAATGTAAATATTATAGAAGAATAAGTACTTAATGATGTAAAATAGAAGACAATTAATAATATAAGTCTAAATGGATATACCTTTGTTATCCATAGGAGAAAAATTCGATGTATTCACTGATGATAAAGGAGGCTGTAAAGATAAATTGAAAAACATTTAAGATCAATATCAATAATTATAATTTGAGACAATCAAAACTTACATTTAAAGGACTAACTTCCTCAGTTTTATTGATTCCTGAATAAAAAAAAAAAATATGTAAGTACCCATCTTATAAAACTAACTACTCGATTAAAGAACACAGATGAAAATATAATTTACTTGAATAGATTCTTGAAGTAAAATGTGAAGTAGTCACCGGTGAATAAATAATCTGTAAATTTAAATGAAACAAAAATGTAAGTCTTCTACAAATTATATTCATAGAGGAAATAAAAAACTTACACCAGAGGGTATTGTATTATTTTTTGTTTTAATGACTCTAATATCTGAAAAAAGAAAATATGCAAATCAAATCAATAAATTAAATAAGAATGTCAAATTCATAATACAATGAAATTTAATCATTAAATTAGCATGATGTAAAATGATAAGTATTGAAAATTTAAGTTTACATACTTTGTGTTTCAAATGCTGAGGAATCTGAAGCAGTATTCGATGAGTATTCTTTAGATTGAGTGTATAACATATTTGGGTAATGTGGCAAAGTGAAATGTGAAGTAGTTGCCGATGAACAAACAATCTATAAATTTGAACGAAATCAAAATTAAAATCTTGTACAACTTATATTCTCAGAATAAATATAAAACTTACAATAGGAGGTTTAATATCACTTGTTTCAACAGCTCTAATCTCTGAAAAAAATAAAATATGCAAATCAAAATCAATAAATTAAGTAAGAATGTCAAAAAAATTCATAATACAATGAAATTTAATCATTAAATTAGCATGATACAAAATTATAAATATTAAAAATTTAAATTTACATACTTTGCGCTGTAAATACTGAAAAATCTGAAGCAGAATTCGATGAATATTCATTTGAATGAGAATATATCACATTTGAGTAGTCTGCGGGAGTAAAATCTGAAGAAGTCGCTGGCAAAAAAATTATCTATAAATTTGAACAAAATGAAAATGAAAATCTTGTATAACTTATATTCTCAAAGGAAATATTGAACTTACATTAAGAGGTTTAATATCACTTGTTGTTTGAACACCTCTAATCTCTGAATAAAGAAAATATGAAAATCAAAATCAGTAAATTAAGTAAGAATATTAAATATATTAATATTACATATGAAATTTTATCATGATTATATTGTGATAAAGATTAAAAATTAAAATTTGCATACTTTGCGCTGTAAATACTGAAAAATCTGAAGCAGAATTCGATGAATATTCATTTGAATGAGAATATATCACATTTGAGTAGTCTGCAGGAGTAAAATCGGAAGAAGTCGCTGGCAACAATACTATCTATAAATTTGAACAAAATAAAAATGAATATTTTGTATAACTTATATTCTCAAAGGAAATATAGAACTTACATCAGGGGGTTTAGTATTGCTTGTTGTTTGAACACCTCTAATCTCTGAATAAAGAAAATACACAAATCAAAATCAATAAATTAATTTAGAATATCAAATATATTTATATTACATTTGAAATTTTATCATCAAATTAGCATGATATAAAATGATGAATATTAAAAATTTAAATTTACTTACGTTGTGTTTTAAATGCTGAGGAATTTGAAGCAATATTTGATGAGTATAAATTTGAATGTGGATTTGATGTACTTTGACAGATTTTTGAAGAAAAATGTGAAGTTTTCTTCGGTTGAAAAATAGACTATAAATAAATTTGATACAAAAATTTAAATCCATACATTTAGTATTAATTTAAGATATTTAAAATTTACCGTGATATGATGTTTTTCATTTTGCTCGTCATGGTTTTTTTTCAAAGATAAATCCATGATTTTGAATTAAGTAATCTGGTGCAAATCAATATTCTATATGTTCGTCACTTTTCATTCGATCCTGAATAATTGTTACAATATTCAATTAACTTGAAGCTTATACCTAGACTTCTTTCAATTTCTTTTACTTCTGGTTTGATCACTAACCAATTCTCAGAAGAGAAGCAATACATTTAAACATTAACATACACAGCTATTTATTTTAATCATATTTCAAAATGGCCTTTTGTAGCTGCTAATGGATTATCATGCGTAATAGTACGCAGTCGTTTCAAAAACATTAACAAATGACGTTGACTAACAAAAACTCTTCTCTTGGTGAATTATTACCTTATCGCTACCATTTGAATATATGTGGTAAGTACATACCTGTCATGTACATCAATAGGTATTCAATTTGTACTCGTAACAGTCGTTGGGTCACGATCGGTCACTGCAGTTTCGGCGTAATTTTAGGGCGTTCGGTCTATTCGAAAAAAAAATTGACACAATCCAACCGATAAAAAAAAATTAACGTCATAGAAATCGAGGTGCGAACGCGGAGTGTGAGTGAACAAGCGAGGAAATGAACTTACGAGTCGAGTGTGTAGGTACACGGCACACGTTACATAGCACGACGCGGACGCAAAGACAACGCATGGCGGATTGCTGTGAAGATGACGACGATCAGGACGAAGAGTAATGCGATCGCGGCGGCTAAAGCAATGATTCCGGTAATAGGCGTATCCTGTCTGTTCCGACGGCGGTAAACGCGCCGGTCCATGGCGCTCGAGAGAACGACGACGACCAACGTCGGAAGACGCGTTTATGACTCGTCAAAAGTCCGGCGGACAGAGCTAATGGTTTGAATTTTTCACCGGAAGGACGAGAGCGGAGACGAAGAAACGGAGACCACCGGAACTAACAGAAGTTGGAGCGGACGACCGAAGACTGAACGCGACGAGCTCCGACTCGGAACTATTCACTGGCCGCGTGCGTGGGTGCCGAGCACGTTGTTCGCAATAACGTTGGGCCGTTGGACTGGGCGGCGGCGGCGGCGGCGGCGGCGGCGGCAGCGTTGGCGTTGGTGGTGGTAGTGGTGGTTGATGGTGGTGGTAGTGCTGGTTGGCGGTGTGGTGGTAGTGGTGGAAGCGGCGGCGGCGCCGGCAACAGTGAACACCAATTGTGCCCACCCGTGCAAAATCGTTGAACGGCCACGCCGTTCTATATTGTAGCGACCGTCTTAATCCCCACCGACCCCCACTCAAACGATGCGGCCGTTTTCGCGGGAACGAGATCACGTCCAGCAGGTGGTTCCCCTCGGCGAGCGAATACCTACCAACTCGTCCTACTCACCCGACGATCACGTCGATCCGCCATTTTCGTTTTACTCCGGCGCGATCTGTCGTTTTCGAGGGTCGGTTATGGCGGACGAAAATGTGTTTTCGAGTCTGGCCGGTCGGTCGGTTGTCGTCGTTCCCGCCAGCCATCGAGAGGCGCGTCCTCGTCGTAGACTTCGACGAAGTCTTAGCTTAACTTCGAAGAACACGCGGATTATGAACGCTTTCGATGATAATAATAATAATAATAATAACAACAAGACACGCACATTATTCACCGCGTACTTGCGCGACGCGTAAAAGGACGACCCAATCGATTGCGAACAAACGTGCGAACGTCGACCACGACGTCCACGACGGCCATAACGGGGACCAAATCATTCGTTCATATTCGTAACGTTTTGTCACGGGCTACAACACAGAGCAACAGTTGTTGTTTTGCGGTCGACTCTACTGACCATCTTGAGCTATCACTGTGTTATCAGTTATTTTTTTCCAACGCGCCCGTCTTAAAGCTGGAACCGCGGTAACGCGCGTCATCATAGAGAGCGCCGCTGGTTCTCCATGATGCGCGCGCGCGACGACGACGGCGACGGCGACTACAACGGTCGAGCACGCCGGTCGTCGGAACTCGGAAATTCGACGGCGGCGCCACGATGATCGCGGTGTGACGATTAATCGCGTCGCTTTAAAATCCCAAAGTGTTTCGATTAACTCGATTCTACTGGGGGGTTATCCATTCCCTGAATGAAAAATAGGTGATGAATTTGCACGCAAGACATGAATGTGTTCGACATGTGAGTCGAACACGAGGTTTTCGGCATTATTTGAAAAATGGTTGACGGTTGTCGTGTATACGAGACACGAAATACACAAAATACACAAAATAATACATTTATACAAGGACAGTATATCACTACAAAAAAAAAAATATAGAAGATATTTTATTTCAAAAGTATCCATATAATATAATATTATATAAAACGACACATTCATTCCAGCAAATAATATATAACATTATTATATATATACGATATAGGGATGACTTATACCATTCTAATGGTAGATAATAGGAAACCGAAGGCTTACAAAACATATTGTACTCGTATTAATATCGATAATCCTTGAAAGGTACTTACTTATTTTCACTTTAAAATTTATGAACTTGTATTATTTTACGGCTGTTGACATATTTTATAGAAACGCATTTTATACAATAAGTACTATTGTGTCCACAATGGTCCTAAGGGTTCATTTTCAATGAACAGCATGTGGTATTATCTTGTTACATTAATTTTGTACACTTATAACTCCGTCTATGTGGGTTTAAAACTTTCTAAAGGTTTCCTTTGTGATTATACCTCCATGTAGGTAGAAGAATTCATTCGACCACCCGTAGATGTTTTTTTTGTACCATTAAGATTCTAAAATATTCCTACAGATACTTCGTTACATTTATAATATCTACCAAGGACAATCGGGTGGTGCTCGGGTAAGAGAGATTAAGTACCCTGGATATTGCCAAAAACACATTACAGCAAAAAAAAAACAGAAATGAGACGACATTTTTCTCGTTTATTGAAAAATAGTGACGACTCTTAACCATATACATGTATATCACCTATGCGTAATGCGTATACAAACTATTGCGATTTTGTACGCAATCGCCATATTTTTCCTAGATGACCATTGCCCAGCAGAGTTATTTTATTAGATTAGTACACTATTTTGCCCCGTTTCATGACAATATTGTGAATTGTAACAGAAAATATTTCTGTATAAAGAAATTCTGTGTAAAGAAATATATTATTGCATTTGTTTAAGCCAAACACAATGTAATCGTAAGACGTAAGTAAATTACACATTTTAAGTAAAGGTCATTCGCAAGTATAATTATTGTCGAGTTGTATTACACACAGTATTTGAAACGAGGAAAAAACATTTAATTAAAAATTAAATTAATACGTCATACACGGCTATTTGAATAAGATTTAAATGTGTAACTATGGCAGCTTCTGAGGTACTAATATCACAACGACTTCAATAAATACAATTATTACAATGTCAATCAGCGCCAAACAAACCGATTTTTAGATGATGAGAAGTTAGAACTGTATAAGTCTTGGAATTGTCCACACAGAAAATAATACATAAGCATATTAATATTATGAAAATATATTAATTGACAGTTTTTGAAATGAAAAGAGACAATAATACTATTACACAGATATTTATCAAATTTTTATAGCCCACTTTAAATGGCCTGCAAAGTAAAATATCTATATTATTATCATTATTTTTTTCCGGATAGTCTTCAAACATGATTATTAGTTATTATACTTTCTTGGACTACCTACCATAATATTTGGCTATGAACGAATTGTATGGTTTCGACCTGGGTTATTTGTGTTTCAACTCAACCAGTATTTTCAAATTTCCGTACTAACATCAGAATTATTTATCCAATAAGAACTTACACACATTCAAAAGTCGCGCGAAGTTTACGAACAGTTACAGCATGAGCATTCGCCGTTTTTGTAATGAGTTTTTAGTACATAAGACTTATGAGTCTAATGGTTATTGAATTGTTCCATGATAATTAAGTTCAATAAAAACGAATTACCTGCTTCTATTAGGAATGATAATAGGTGACAAAAATAATTAAAATATAGTTAACAACCTTAAAACAGAAAAATCTCACGTATTTCAAAAATTACGTACATAATGAAACATCCATAGCCCTTTATAAAACTACTTGAATTTTGATATGTAAGATATTTCAATAAATTTGGTTGTGTTGCCAACAATTTGCGAATTTCTATTTTAACAACACAATATTTACAATTAGTTTAACGATTTTATCATTCTAAAGGTAATAGAGTTTTAAAATGTAAAACTATAAATTTTACCGTATTTACTTAAAAAAAATAATGACTAATAGTTTGTCTTAGTTGATAACTTTACAATATACTTGCAATGTTGTATTGATGGATCTTAAAATAAAATATAAGTGTAATAATATAAGTGTAATAATATAAGTGTTATAATCAATTTCTACATTATTTAGATAAATTCAATTGACCTTCGCCTTTCGATTACTACGAGTAGTTACCAATTAAATATAATTATTAAACTTATGGACTATATGGTTGATACTTAACATATTGTTTTATTATAATCGTCATTACTTATTGTAATAACTACAGACTACAGTATGGTGTTGAGTTATTACATACTTATATTGCATTCGCTGGATATTAAATGTCAACATTTAAAATAAATAACAATAATTGCTGTTAACAACTAACGACGTATACATCTGCTGTCAAATATTATCATAGAGAACAAAATACATCGTTTTGTGATAACGAATTTATGGTATGAACTATGGTCTATGACCTCACGCTTTACTCAGAAATGTCGATTAAAAATCAATGTTTATTAAAACTGGTGATTTTTTTACTCACTTCATCTATTAATAAGGGAGGACAGAGTTTTTACTGTCTAATATAACTGAAAAAAAAAAATTAAATATTCAATACAATTGTTAACTTATATTATTTTATAATTATTAGTATTTATTAAATTTTTATACATATTGTATGAACTATGGTACTATATTGTCAAAAATATTATTATTTTTATTTTTTGAAAAAGATCGCGGAGCTAAATAAATACAATACCTACCTGGTTATCTAGGGTAACTGAAAATAAAATATATTCTAATAC